TCTTCTCTGAAATCAATAAAAATACATAACAAAAATTAAAGATCATGTTTCTATGGCAGCCTCCACATGTAAACAGATGTGTGGGAACCTTTTATTTCTGCTCAAGTGGGAAAGCAAACCAACACAACGCAGAAATCTCCACGTACAGCGGCCACTGGGACATGAGGGCCCGTGTCCGACGGAGGGCGGCGCCCATGCCTGCCCGTGCCCGTGGGCTCTGGAAGCGCTCCTACGTGGACAGGTGACAGGAAGCTCCAGACAGACAACTGGATGCTCCCAAAACGTTCCTGGGATTTTCCACATGGAGGGTTCTGGAAGGCCGTGCGTCACGCAGGCCGACCCGTTCTGAGTGGTATTTCCGATGACACCGCTTGGTTTGCTGCCCAGAAATCTGTGTGCGTGTTCTGGGCTGACAGCCTGGCGTGAGCTCCTTTCGGAATCAGGCTGCTGAGCGCCCAGAAACTCCAGGCAGGACGGATGGATGGACGGACAAACGGACGGACACCGGGCTGCCCACGCTTCTCCCACCCGACGGGACACCCACGGGCCACCAGGCAACGTGGGCACGGCCAGCACTGCACCGTCCGTCTATTTACCACTCATTCTTTAACACGATTCCACGTGTACACGGTACATGCCTCTCTGTCCTTGCAAATAAGACTTCCTTCCGTTTCCAAAAGGGTGCCACCATCATCACCTTTTTTAAAAGTCTGCACCTCGGCCCTCGCCCCTGGGGGCTCTTGGTGCATCGCCCTGTACACCGAAAGGTGGCGGGTTCAATTCCAGACAGGGCACCTACAGGTTGTAGGTTTGATCCCTGTTTGGGGCGCATATGGGAGGTAATCAGTCGATGTCTCTCTCTCTCTCTCTCTCTCTCTCTTCCGCTCTGTAAAAAAATCAATAAAATTTATATAAATATATTTTAAAATATATTTTATTGATTTTTTAACAGAGAGGAAGGGAGAGGGATAGAGAGTGAGAAACATCGATGAGAGAGAAACATCGATCAGCTGCTTCCTGCACACCTCCTACTGGGGATGTGCCCGCAACCCAGGTACATGCCCTTGACGGGAATCGAACCCGGGACCCTTCAGTCCGCAGGCCGACACTCTATCCCCTGAGCCAAACCGGTTTCGGCCCTTTTTCTCTTAAATCAACAAAAGCATATCCTCATGTGAGGATTTTAAAAAAATCATCATCTCTCATGTCCCCTTGCAAGTTGGTGATAAACCCATTATATATATTCAATAAGTATTCTCATTGTCATCAGTTTAATAAGCAGAGAGACCAGGAAAATATGGGGGCAGGGGGGCCTCCCAAAGATGTCCTCAAAATGATAAGCCTTAATCCCTCCAAAATAATAATAACATCCATAAAAACAAAAGCAAAGAGCTGATCAGGACCTTTCTCTCCGACAATCAATGGAAAGGACTTGAAAGTTTGCTTTTATTCTCTGCTTTCTCCCACGCAAAACCACCTTTCCGTGCCGGCTGCATAAATGCAGATATGCAGACACATTTTAAAGTCCTAATTTAAAAAAAAATAGGAAAGAATGATGATAAAATTACAGCCCATCATTGATAGCAATGGCTGCATTTAAGAAGCCAACGTGGACTTCTCATGCTCATTTTCTAAGAAATCTCATGAGGTATTTCGGTGCCGTTACAACAGAATCACCACCTGGAATGTATGTAGTATCCTCTCAGATAGGTCCTCTGACGAATTCTCACACTAATTAGATTCTCTTCGTTGTAGGAAGCAGGTGGAGGTGAAGAGAGGGAGGCCTCAGCAGACGGAGTGCTGAGTTATGAGGCCCTGCCTTCTGTGTAGGAAGCCCAGCCCCCGTTTTCCTCCAAAGAACTTTGGAGCCTGGGTTCCCATCCCAGCTCTGCCCCCTCTGACTCAGCACGGTCCCCACGGGTGATGGCGGGCTGTTCCTGGATGGAGACATGGTGGACACAGGGCCAGACTGGCACCTGACAAATACATCATCAGCTTTTCACGGGGAATAGGAGCCCGGGCTTAGTCATCGGACAAAGTAAAGTCACGGGAAGGGCTTCTTCAGCATCAGGGTCCTAAGGACCAGGCACACACATGGCCTCTGACATGGGATAGTGCCACCGCGGGTGGCAGGCATGACGATGTCTTGGAAAAGGGGTTACCCGTGCAGAGAAATGGAGAACATACCTATTTATTTGAAAATAATCGATTTTGTTTAAATGAGGAAGATTATTTAAAGACTAGAGGCCCAGTGCACAAAATTTGTGCATGGAAGGGGAGTTCCTCAGCCCGGCCTGCACCCTCTCCAATCTGGGACCCCTGTGGGATCTGGCCTAAACCGGCAGTCGGACATCCCTCTTGCAATCTGGGACGATTGGCTCCTAACCACTTGCCTGCCTGCCTGATCGCCCCCAACTGCCCTCCCCTGCTGGCCTGATCTTGCCCCCAACTGCCTCTGCCTCGGCCCCCACCACCATGGCTTTGTCTGGAAGGAAGTTGGATGTCTGGAAGATGGCTGGTCGACCAGGTCTAATTAGCATATTACCCTTTTATTAGTATAGATATGCTTTGCTTTCAAGGATGAGAGTGTGTGTGTGTGTGTGTGTGTGTGTGTGCGTTTAACCAGCCCCTGAAAATAATTTATTTCCCAAATTAAAAAAAAAAGTACAGTTGAGAAATAGCGTGTGGTTGTGGAAAGAACATTTTACTTGAAAGCTCTCTTTAGAACTGCATCTCACAAGTGTGAGGAACTTAATCGTTCCTTCCAGCATCCTCCTCAAGCCTACACTCTTAGACCCCACCCTGGACACGAGCTATCTGGCCGTAAAAAGAAATGACTCAAATTAATGTCAGCTAATAACATCCTCTTCTCCCTATAAAAAGCTAAAATATCGATGTACTCGTTTAAGCAAATAAACGCTAAATTCGTTCGTTTCAATGCATCTGCACCGTGGACCATTTGCTCACAGCTTACTGCTACTCCAGCTCGAGGAGCAGGACGCAGACACAGCACACACTGGTTCTCGTCTAGTTCGACGTCAGCTGTCCAACACGTGGCCCAGAGAAGCCGGGACGCGTTACCCCACGATCCAGTCTGCTTCTCATGCGACTGAAAGCAGGTCCCGCAGGACGTAATTGTGGCCACGGAAAGACCACACCCGGGAGGACTGGGCAGAGGGACTGCAGCCTCGCTCACAGCATGTTTCAAGTTCACAAAGAATTAAAATTGATTTTAAAACGTGTCACGGAGCACAAAATCATCATGCGAAGATATATTTCTAATTAACAGAAAGCCCACACAAGAATATTAAAAATAAACCCAAATATGAGGCTACTTCATTGACCTGTTTTCAATACGCAATAATTTTCACTTGAGTGAAAAAGCTCTTCAAAATCAACCTCTTTGGGTTTTTTTTTAAGCTTTACAGTCGGCTTTTCTCCACAGCGGGCAGGCCTACCTGAGCTTGGGGCGTAAGCAGGCTCATCTGAAGGACACGTTAAGGATGAGCGTGTACGTTACGTGATGCCCAGTGTCTGCACGGCTGAGGTGACCCCTGGGTAGCAAATGGCACCAGGAAACACAGCGCAATAATCTTTGGTCACTTTCTGGGAGGGAGCTCAGGGAGCCACTAACCTGCCACCATCCACCATCCGTGTCCATTTCCTCACAAACTGCCTTAGGGAATGATGGGGAGACGCCTTTTTCTTGTCTCCAACCACATTTCAGAGCTGGCTCCGTGGCCGTGTGTGTGTGTGTGTGTGTGTGTGTGTGTGTGTGTGTGTGTGTGTGGTTGGGGGAGGAGGCAGGGGGATGTGAATCTAGAAAATAAAACCGATTCCGCTGAGAGCCAGCCCCACGCTCAGCCTCCAAGAGCTGTGAGCACCCACGCAGCACGCCTGCCTCTGCCGTGGGAGGGGAGGACCACCCACAGGTGAGCGTAAAAACCGGAACAAGAACAAGCAGTCGCTGCGCCGTGATCCGCCCTGATCCCCCATTTCTGGGGGTCTGGCCGAGGGACAGCATCCAGATAGGAAGCCGGGAGGACCCTGTCACATGACCACACCATTAACCGTTCAGAGCAATGCGGCACCGAGCCACGGGCACTGAGCCACGGTCACGGCGTGCGTTCTCCATCGTCACGCAGTACAGAAAAGGGCACAGATCTGAGAAACAGGCCGGGTGAGCAGGAGGCGTCCGGTGTGTGCCCGGCCCTCTGGGGACGCGAGTCACTAGCTCACAGCTGGACGTGACAGCGTCCTGGCCAGAAGTGGCAGGCTGCGTGGAGAACACGAGATGAAGGTGGCGCAACCCGGGAGAGTGCGTGCAGCCGCGGGCACGGAGAGAATCGGAGCCGAAACGCGGGCCTGGCGAGGAGGGAGCCGCTGCAGGCGAAGGGCCCGGGCACCTTTGAGGCCACAGAAAAGAACAAACAGCCCTGGCCGATGTGGCTCAGTGGACAGAGCGCCAGCCTGCAAACCGAAGGGTCCCAGGTTCGATTCCGGTCAAGGGCACGGAGCTGGGTTGCAGGCTCCTCCCCAGCCCGGCCCTGGTCGGGGCGCGTGCAGGAGGCAACCAATCCATGGGTCTCTCTCACATGGATGCTTCTCTCTGTGCGTCTTTCCCTCTCTCTCCCAGTCTCTCCAAAAACCAATGGAAAAATACCTTCGGGTGAAGATTAACAACACAAAACAAAACGAAAGAACTGCACCTGAAGCAAGGCCTGGGGAGGTCAGACAGCCAGTGTAACCTGCGATGCCCGCTAATTCACCGTGTGTGTGGCCTGGTGCCCGACAGGGGCCCTCAGGGGTGGTGGCATGGCAATGCACTGAGTCCGGGGTCAGTGGGAGCTCAGCTCCATGGGGGTCCTCGGGTATCTTTCCAAAAACAGGGCCCAGACGCCCCCCCCCCCAGGGGAAAAGGAGCCCCCTGTTAGCACCCACAGAGCACAGGCTCTGAGCAGAGGACGGTTGAGCACAGGGACCGCGTCCCTCACCCCAGAGAGCAGCGCTCAGCACCGGCTGGAGCACAAACCCCGCTCCGCCCCCCGGCGCCATATGCCCCGCAGCCCCTCCCAGGGACGCCCTGACCCACTAATCAGGCGTTTTACCGGAGCCTCCTGCCCGGACCCAGGCCCGGCTTCACGCAAATGCCAGCTCCACCGAGTGGTGGGATGAACTCCAAGCGAAAGGAAAACAGTGTCTGAAACGAGGCCATAATTCTACGGCTGAACGTGAAGGGGACCCGCGTCCACCCCGTCTCTGCTGCCCCTGGTCGTGGCACGGAACGCTATGGTTCCCAAAGGGAGAGCCTGAGGCGCATGCTGGGAACCAAAAAATTAAAAAATAGATCAAAGATTGCAATGGAGATGTTCAAATCTCAGAGGCACGGCTCCCGCCCCAGCATCACACAGACCAGTGTCGGGGAAAATGACTAAAACGAGCTGCTCTTCCCCAGCGGCCAGCTCCATGAGCCCCGAGGGGGGGTTGGGCGCAGGGCGGACAGGGGCCCTCCCCCACCGGCACCCCATCTCCCGCGGCGGGTGCCCAGATCCCCGCAGGAACGAAGC